GCGGGGTCAGAGTCCGCCAGGCATGATGGTCCCTCGGCTTCTCTCTAGTAATGCCGGATACAGATGATGAGATAGTGTCTCCCTCCTGCGCAGGCTCCTCCGGGGATTGGGGGCTCTGGTCAGAATGTTCCGTGCCCTGCGGGGGAGGATACCGGAACCGCAGCCGCGTCAGCGTCGTCCTTCGCCGTATTGAGTTCTCCACGTGTCATCTTCATCCGTGTGCTGGTGAGAAATCTGTGTATGAACCATTGCGTGATAACTGTGCATAGCGGATCCCGGGATCTGTTCCGGATTTATGTGGAGTGGATCCCGGGATCTGTTCCGGATTTATGTGGAGTGGATCCCGGGATCTGTTCTGGTTTTCTCTGGAGTGGATACCTGGATCTGTTCTTGTTTTGTGTACAGTGGATCCCTGGTTCTGTTCTTGTTATATGTGGAGTGGATCCCGGGATCTGTTATTGTTATATGTGGAGTGGATCCCGGGATCTGTTCTGGTTATATGTGGAGTGGATCCCTGGTTCTGTTCTTGTTATATGTGGAGTGGATCCTTGGATATGTTCTGGTAATATGTGGAGTGGATTCCTGGATCTGTTCCGGTAATATGTGGAGTGGATTCCTGGATCTGTTCTGGTTTTATGTGGCGTGGATCCCTGGATCTGCTTCCGGTTATATTTGGAGTGGATCCCTGGATCAGATCTGGTTTTATGTGGAGTGGATTCCTGGATCTGTTCTGGATTTATGTGGAGTGGATCCTGGGATCTGTTCCCGGTTATATGTGGAGTGGATCCCTGGATCAGATCTGGTTTTATGTGGAGTGGATCCCGGGACCTGTTTCCGGTTATATGTGGAGTGGATCCCTGGATCAGATCTGGGGTTTATGTGGAGTGGATCCCGGGATCTGTTTCCGGTTATATGTGGAGTGGATCCCTGGATCAGAGCTGGTTTTATGTGGAGTGGATCCCTGGATCTGTTCTGGATTTATGTGGAGTGGATCCCGGGATCTGTTTCTGGTTATATGTGGAGTGGATCCCTGGATCAGATCTGGTTTTATGTGGAGTGGATCCCTGGATGGAGTGGATTCCTGGATCTGTTCTGGATTTAGATCTGTTTCTGGTTATATGTGGAGTGGATCCCTGGATCAGATCTGGTTTTATGTGGAGTGGATCCCTGGATCTGTTCGGGCTTTATGTGGAGTGGATCCCGGGATCTGTTCCCGGTTATATGTGGAGTGGATTCCTGGATCTGTTCTGGATTTATGTGGAGTGGATCCCGGGATCTGTTTCTGGTTATATGTGGAGTGGATCCCTGGATCAGATCTGGTTTTATGTGGAGTGGATCACTGGATCTGTTCTTATGGTATGTTCTGTTGCTTGGTTTGGTGATGGAATGTCCTGGTCTAAATGGGTCATATTGGATCTTCTCGTTGTCCTCTTTGCAGGAGAGGATCCTGGGATCTGTCCGGATGGGATGGTATGGAAGGATTGCGGTGATGGCCCCGCCTCCTGCGCTGATCTGGGTGATGAAGGAGACAACAGGACGTGCCGGCCAGGCTGCTACTGCCATAGAGAGGAGCTCCTGCTGGTGAGTTCCCGGGATCACTTCCTTCTGTGCGGCCAGAAGATCCCTCCAGATCCCTTCATACAGAACACGGCTGATCCCATACAAGGAAGTGTCAGAGTGCCGATCACTCCGGAGATCTTCATCCTCTTCTTCCAGATATGTCGGAGGAGGGGACGGGGGCGGAGACTATGCTAATCAATCCAGCGAGGGCCCCCTCACCCCTCTGGGTGTAGCTAGACCCGGGGCAGTGAGCAGCAGGCATGGGGCACATACCCCCCATTCCCCCCCCATCAGCCATCCTGAAACTTGTGGCTTCTCCCCGCCAGCCGCCGCCTGCTGCCCCCCCCCCCCCCCCCCCCCCCCGGAGAGGTGGTCCGGCGACACTCCTGAGTTACCTGCACCCCGAACATCTACCACCCCCCAGTACAATACTACCCCATCATACAAGGGGGGCAAATACCGAGCCAAGTGTGACTGTCCCTCTTCTCCTGCAGAATAATCGCTGTGTCCCCCCATCGCAGTGCCCCTGTACTGAGGGCGGAAACTTCTATGAGCCCGGAGAGACGGTGCCGAGAGACTGCAACAACTGGTGAGTGTCACCCGGGGGGGTAATAACAGGGGGGTGTTGGGGGGTGTTGGGGGTTTTTGGGGGGTGTTGGGGTGTGTTGGGGGGTTAATGGGGGTGTTTTGCAGACATGTTGCGTGTGTTGGAGGGTCACATGAGTAGATTTGGGAGGTCCTCTTTATACGTGATTGTCTTACAGCCGTGGATGGGGATTGGTCGGATTGGACGCCGTGGAGTAATTGTTCTGCTACATGTGGTGGAGGATTCCAGAACCGCTACCGGTTCTGCACGGACCCCCCTCCTTCAAGGAGCGGTCTACCCTGCGAAGGTCCTGACAGGGAGGAGCGGCCCTGCAACCTGGAGCCATGTGAAGGTGAGGAGATCCCTCCATGTACTATCGTGAGTCCCCATGTGGGGTGTATGCTGAGCTGTCATGGCGGGAGGTCACACGGCCTCTGAACTGTCATGGCGGGAGGTCACACGGCCTCTGAACTGTCATGGTGGGAGGTCACACGGCCTCTGAACCATCATGGCACTCTGAACTGTCATGGCGGGAGGTCACACGGCCTCTGAACTGTCATGGCGGGAGGTCACACGGCCTCTGAACTGTCATGGCGGGAGGTCACACGGCCTCTGAACTGTCATGGCGGGAGGTCACACGGCCTCTGAACTGTCATGGCGGGAGGTCACACGGCCTCTGAACTGTCATGGCGGGAGGTCACACGGCCTCTGAACTGTCATGGCGGGAGGTCACACGGCCTCTGAACTGTCATGGCGGGAGGTCACACGGCCTCTGAACTGTCATGGCGGGAGGTCACACGGCCTCTGAACTGTCATGGCGGGAGGTCACACGGCCTCTGAACTGTCATGGCGGGAGGTCACACGGCCTCTGAACTGTCATGGCGGGAGGTCACACGGCCTCTGAACTGTCATGGCGGGAGGTCACACGGCCTCTGAACTGTCATGGCGGGAGGTCACACGGCCTCTGAACTGTCATGGCGGGAGGTCACACGGCCTCTGAACTGTCATGGCGGGAGGTCACACGGCCTCTGAACTGTCATGGCGGGAGGTCACACGGCCTCTGAACTGTCATGGCGGGAGGTCACACGGCCTCTGAACTGTCATGGCGGGAGGTCACACGGCCTCTGAACTGTCATGGCGGGAGGTCACACGGCCTCTGAACTGTCATGGCGGGAGGTCACACGGCCTCTGAACTGTCATGGCGGGAGGTCACACGGCCTCTGAACTGTCATGGCGGGAGGTCACACGGCCTCTGAACTGTCATGGCGGGAGGTCACACGGCCTCTGAACTGTCATGGCGGGAGGTCACACGGCCTCTGAACTGTCATGGCGGGAGGTCACACGGCCTCTGAACTGTCATGGCGGGAGGTCACACGGCCTCTGAACTGTCATGGCGGGAGGTCACACGGCCTCTGAACTGTCATGGCGGGAGGTCACACGGCCTCTGAACTGTCATGGGGGGAGGTCACACGGCCTCTGAACTGTCATGGCGGGAGGTCACACGGCCTCTGAACTGTCATGGCGGGAGGTCACACGGCCTCTGAACTGTCATGGCGGGAGGTCACACGGCCTCTGAACTGTCATGGGGGGAGGTCACACGGCCTCTGAACTGTCATGGTGGGAGGTCACACGGCCTCTGAACTGTCATGGGGGGAGGTCACACGGCCTCTGAACTGTCATGGTGGGAGGTCACACGGCCTCTGAGGTCACTGGAGGGGTCGCAGGATAAATTTAAAGGGACCATTTGGGCCTCATTCATGCAGTTCACAATTCTTGTCCCCGGTCTCGGCCCATCAGAGCTGAGAAGACGCCGAGGCTCGCCGGTGCTCCCGGTGTTCTCAGTCCTCCTTCACGGGGGAGTGGGAGGACCCTGACAGCTGTGTACCTGAGGAGGATTTTGTTGATAAGAGGTTCTGGCCACACCCCTTCTTATCAAAGCATTGATCACCCTTGTGGAGGGCCCCATGGACAAGCAGCTGGAGGCCGGGCCCCGCACCGCGACCTCTCCTGGCTTTGGTGCCGCGTGGCTGCCCTTGTGTGACTCTGTGGGGCCTAAATCGTGTTTCCCCGGCACCACACGAAGCACCCTTGTCAGAGATGTTCCCCTTTCCACTCTCACCCCCAATGTTGCCTCTGCAAGGGGGGTGTCTGAGCTGCTGGCCTTCTACGAGGACAAGGTGGAGGCCTAGAACTTCCTGTCAGCCTTTCCCCTCAGGCAGGACCTGGTTCTCCTGTCCCTGTGTCTGGCTCGAGGTTATCAGGAGGACATTTCCCTCCATTGCCTGAATGTGGTGTGTGCGGCGCCGGCCACCTGGAGGTCCTTCAGAAAGACTTTCCCATTGCTGATGGCCCCTTTAAGGGAGGACCGGCTTCTGCAAGGCCGCGTGTGTGATGACCCGTACCCATTGGGGGGCGGAGATTACTGTGAGGGTCCGAGCGCGGAGGTGGAGCCCTGCCCGCTGCCACGGTGCCCGGGTGAGAGAACATCACGGGATACTAAACATATGACACGGCTTTGCTTGACATGGACCTATGTTGTGTTCAATGATAATGGTGGGCGGAGTCAGACAGATAGAATCTCCAGGACTGTGTTCCCTCATTGGGGTCTAGACGCCGGGCATCTCATCCGACCAATCAGATGTCACCTTCCGAGAGTTCACATCTGACCACTGAACCGCGATTGGTTGTGATTGGTCATTGCACCTGACACGGCATCTAAATAAAGTCCATTTTGCGAGAAGAAAATCTTATTTGGAGGATATTTTCCATCTTGTCTTCCAGAGACAAACTGCTCGTCCCTCGCGGACGCCGCGTACAGCAGCTGTGGCCCCGCATGCCCCAGATCATGTGACGACATGGCGGTAAGTCGGGGGACTTCACTGGCTGGTGGTGTGTTTATAATCCCTAGTGTGCTGTGCTCCGCCCCCGGGTATCTACTATTCACTGTGCTCCGCCCCCGAGTAACTACAACTCACTGTGCTCCGCCCCCGAGTAACTACTATTCACTGTGCTCCGCCCCGGGTAACTAATATTCACTGTGCTCCGCCACGGGTATCTACTATTCACTGTGCTCCGCCCCCGAGTAACTACTATTCACTGTGCTCCGCCCCCTTGTAACTACAATTCACTGTGCTCCTCCCCTTTGTCACTACAACTCACTGTGCTCCGCCCCGTGTATCTACTATTCACTGTGCTCCTCCCCTTTGTCACTACAACTAACTGTGCTCCGCCCCCGTGTATCTACTATTCACTGTGCTCCGCCCCGTGTATCTACTATTCACTGTGCTCCGCCCCCGTGTAACTACAATTCACTGTGCTCCACCCCCGAGTATCTACTATTCACTGTGCTCGGCCCCGTGTATCTACTATTAACTGTGCTCCGCCCCCGTGTAACTACAATTCACTGTGCTCCGCCCCGGTGTATCTACTATTCACTGTGCTCCGCCCCCGAGTAACTACAATTCACTGTGCTCCTCCCCCATTTAACTACAATTCACTGTGCTCCTTCCCCGTGTAACTACAATTCACTGTGCTCCGCCCCCGTGTAACTACAATTAACTGTGCTCCGCCCCCGTGTAACTACAATTCACTGTGCTCCGCCCCCGTGTAACTACAATTCATTTTGCTCCGCCCCCGTGTATCTACAACTCACTGTGCTCCACCCCTGTGTAACTACAGCTCACTGTGCTCCGCCCCCGGGTATCTACTATTCACTGTGCTCCTCCCCTTTGTCACTACAACTCACTGTGCTCCGCCCCCGTTAACTACAACTCACTGTGCTCCACCCCCGTGTAACTACAGCTCACTGTGCTCCGCCCCGGGTATCTACTATTCACTGTGCTCCACCCCCCGGCAACTACAATTCACTGTGCTCCACCCCCCATGTATCTACAATTCACTGTGCTCCACCCCCCGGCAACTACAATTCACTGTGCTCCTCCCCTGTGTCACTACAGATCACTGTGCTCCCCCCCCCGGCAACATCACTGTGCTCCACCCCCCGGCAACTACAGTTCACTGTGCTCCACCCCCCATGTATCTTCAATTCACTGTGCTCCCCCCGGGTAACTACAGCTCACTGTTCTCCGCCCCCATGTAACTACAATTCACTGTACTCCGCCCCCGGGTAACTACAATTCACTGTACTCCGCCCCCGGGTAACTACAATTCACTGTACTGCGCCCCCGGGTAACGACAATTCACTGTACTGCGCCCCCGGGTAACGACAATTCACTGTGCTCCTCCCCTGTGTCACTGCAGCTCACTGTGCTCCGCCCCCATGTCGCATTAGCTTACTCTGATTGGTGAGTACAGAGAGGATGTGTTGCTGGTGGAAGGTTCTTCAGAGACATGGGGGGGGGAGGTCCCAGGTTGGCAGGCTTAGTGGAGGGCGATGCAGTGGGGTAGGAACGCTGCCACACACTGCCGGCCATTTGTTACTCCCGTAGCCGAGTACGATGCGTTTTCCCTGCTTGCACGCCATGTGATTGGTGGTTAATGATGTGTGGCGGCCAGTGACAGTTTAATCCCAGTTCCCGGACCTGTGAGCTCCGACTCTCTACGTCATCTGATCCCATAACGCAGATGAGGACGAATGTAACAGTTGTGTGTCATGTGATGATTGCTAAGAGCCCCTCGTCTCCCCCAGCATTGTACAGAATCCTGCCAGCCGGGCTGCTATTGCCCCCCGGGGAGGGTCCTGACAGAGAATGGCACAGCCTGTGTGGCTATAGAGGAGTGCACCTGCCTGGACATCCTGACAGGAGAGAGGCATCTTCCCGGTGAGACCCTCCCCCGAGGAGATGGATGCAATAACTGGTGAGAACCCGTTTAATGGCTTTTCCTCTACAATCCCGGACGAGCCCCCAACTGACACTGTTGTCTCTCTTTCCAGTACCTGTGTAGATGGGACCATGCAGTGCACCAGTGTCACCTGTGCAGGTGAGTGGAGAATCTGCCGGGGCCGGGCAAGGTCTGGTCCTTCCATCCTTCTGACAGTGGCATCTCTGTAGATGATGACCCAGATGTAAATTCGGGGCCAACACAGAACCCAGAAATATACAAAGACCTGGTCAGTGAGGGATTTATATCTACCGCCATTCATATTATAATCCCCAAAAAGAACCCCCGAGAGGGACGAGGACGGGGTTCAGGGACGAGGACAGGGTTCAGGGACGAGGACGTGGTTCAGGGACGAGGACGGGGTTCAGGGATGAGGACGGGGTTCAGGGATGAGGACGGGGTTCAGGGATGGGGTTCAGGGACGAGGATGGGGCTCAGGGACGAGGACGGGGTTCAGGGACGAGGACGGGGTTCAGGGATGGGGTTCAGGGACGAGGACGGGGTTCAGGGATGAGGACGGGGTTCAGGGATGGGGTTCAGGGACGAGGATGGGGCTCAGGGACGAGGACGGGGTTCAGGGACGAGGACGTGGTTCAGGGACGAGGACGGGGTTCAGGGACGAGGACGGGGTTCAGGGACGAGGACGTGGTTCAGGGACGAGGACGGGGTTCAGGGACGAGGACGGGGCTCAGGGACGAGGACGGGGTTCAGGGACGAGGACGGGGTTCAGGGACGAGGACGGGGTTCAGGGACGAGGACGGGGTTCAGGGACGAGGACGGGGTTCAGGGACGAGGACGGGGTTCAGGGACGAGGACGGGGTTCAGGGACGAGGACGGGGTTCAGGGACGAGGACGGGGTTCAGGGACGAGGACGGGGTTCAGGGACGAGGACGGGGTTCAGGGACGAGGACGGGGTTCAGGGACGAGGACGGGGTTCAGGGACGAGGACGGGGTTCAGGGACGAGGACGGGGTTCAGGGACGAGGACGGGGTTCAGGGACGAGGACGGGGTTCAGGGACGAGGACGGGGTTCAGGGACGAGGACGGGGTTCAGGGACGAGGACGGGGTTCAGGGACGAGGACGGGGTTCAGGGACGAGGACGGGGTTCAGGGACGAGGACGGGGTTCAGGGACGAGGACGGGGTTCAGGGACGAGGACGGGGTTCAGGGACGAGGACGGGGTTCAGGGATGAGGACGGGGTTCAGGGATGAGGACGGGGTTCAGGGATGAGGACGGGGTTCAGGGATGAGGACGGGGTTCAGGGATGAGGACGGGGTTCAGGGATGAGGACGGGGTTCAGGGATGAGGACGGGGTTCAGGGATGAGGACGGGGTTCAGGGATGAGGACGGGGTTCAGGGATGAGGACGGGGTTCAGGGATGAGGACGGGGTTCAGGGATGAGGACGGGGTTCAGGGATGAGGACGGGGTTCAGGGATGAGGACGGGGTTCAGGGATGAGGACGGGGTTCAGGGATGAGGACGGGGTTCAGGGATGAGGACGGGGTTCAGGGATGAGGACGGGGTTCAGGGATGAGGACGGGGTTCAGGGATGAGGACGGGGTTCAGGGATGAGGACGGGGTTCAGGGATGAGGACGGGGTTCAGGGATGAGGACGGGGTTCAGGGATGAGGACGGGGTTCAGGGATGAGGACGGGGTTCAGGGATGAGGACGGGGTTCAGGGATGAGGACGGGGTTCAGGGATGAGGACGGGGTTCAGGGATGAGGACGGGGTTCAGGGATGAGGACGGGGTTCAGGGATGAGGACGGGGTTCAGGGATGAGGACGGGGTTCAGGGATGAGGACGGGGTTCAGGGATGAGGACGGGGTTCAGGGATGAGGACGGGGTTCAGGGATGAGGACGGGGTTCAGGGATGAGGACGGGGTTCAGGGATGAGGACGGGGTTCAGGGATGAGGACGGGGTTCAGGGATGAGGACGGGGTTCAGGGATGAGGACGGGGTTCAGGGATGAGGACGGGGTTCAGGGATGAGGACGGGGTTCAGGGATGAGGACGGGGTTCAGGGATGAGGACGGGGTTCAGGGATGAGGACGGGGTTCAGGGATGAGGACGGGGTTCAGGGATGAGGACGGGGTTCAGGGATGAGGACGGGGTTCAGGGATGAGGACGGGGTTCAGGGATGAGGACGGGGTTCAGGGATGAGGACGGGGTTCAGGGATGAGGACGGGGTTCAGGGATGAGGACGGGGTTCAGGGATGAGGACGGGGTTCAGGGATGAGGACGGGGTTCAGGGATGAGGACGGGGTTCAGGGATGAGGACGGGGTTCAGGGATGAGGACGGGGTTCAGGGATGAGGACGGGGTTCAGGGATGAGGACGGGGTTCAGGG